ATTTATTTAAAAGGGGGGTAAATACTCGCCGAGATATTTATATTAGAAAAATTGAATCGAAATGTAATACGAAACCGGCCTGTCGAGAAAGAGTTAATTAACAAGGCTTTTCCAACTCCAGCGATGTAATTTGCAATACTAATTAATAGGAAGAGTCTCTATTTTATAACAAGCTAATTTTTTTCCATTTTAAGGATAGATTTACCTTAACAAATTGTACTTTTTGATTGCCCTTTAAAAATTTTTGTTTCTTGTTTTTTGCTTCGCTTCATCTTTAAAAATCCCGCTATTTCCGCGCAAATATTAGTGTTGACCCAGTCTTCTGACCTTACTCATGCCGTTCGTGTTGTCAAAAACGTCACTTGCTTAAGCTCACTATTAGCGCGTTTCACCGCCCGTGTTTTACTACGCCCTGGCAGAGGTTACCATTCGTAGCCTGTGCAGTTTATGGCAGTTGTACTTATGTGGAAATCTAGGTTTTATCTGCCCAAAAATTAACTGTTTGGTGTAATACTGCATGTTGGAAGGATCTAACTGTCAGAAAATATATAAAAAGTAGATTTGATATTTTGAGCGCATTTAAATCAGACAGTTCGAACAAAGCTCTTAAATACTGATCGCTACCTACACTGGACTCCTAATAATCTTAAAAACGTTTTAAGCTAAATCTATGCAAAAGTGCTAAACAAAACAATTTGGTAAATTAAGCACTGCCTTGGAATGGAACATGTTTTTTGTAGCTCATAGCTACCTGTAAAACATTTTTACGGTTTTCAAAAGATTTACCTAAAGTACTTTCTCAGGTCCATGAACTGACTATATATAGAATAATGTTGATTGGTGTTAAGTTCCAAGTTTATTGACTCCTTTGTTCATCAAGCACACCTTTAAAACCAAGGAAAATCAGTTATGTCTGTTATGTTAAACACCTGGATTGAGTAACTAATCAAGAGATACAGTATAACCGATAAATGTAAGTATTGTATTGGATCATTTGTGCTGGGAGTCCAAGGCTTTCAGAATTATTCAGAGTAGGTGTCTGTTTTGATAAAGTAGGCGGCTGTAAAGAGAGGGTGGTCTAGTGGGTCTTAAAGTCATCCAAATCAACTAGTGTATATTGATTAGATAGCAACACAACAAAATTATGATGTATCAATACTTTCATTCCTCGACAAGTTTATTATTGTTATGCAAAATGCTAAACAAACAATTTGGTAAATTAAGCACTGCCTTGGAACATTTTTCTATGGTTCATCTCAAAGGTCCATGAACTCTTTATAGAGTAATGTTGATTGGTGTTACTGTAAGTTCGAAGCTTATTGACTCCTTTAACAGTCTACAATTACATTCAACTCAACTCTACATTAGGCTGTTGCGGTATATCGATATACCAATAATTATCAGGTTTTTATAAATACCGATTACTTGATATTGAAATTTTCGATATATATCGGAATATCGATAATTTTCGGTATTATCAATATCACGTTTACGTTTGTGTATTTAAACGTCATATCAAGCCTTTTCAAGCGTCGATTGGAGCTATTTCAGAAGGACAAAGACGATCAATGTGCTAACTCAGCGGTAAAATCCGTAAATTAAGGTGTTTGTTTATACGTTGGCGTTTCAAGGTGTAATACCTGTATGTCATTTCGCACTTGCCAAAAAATAAACTTTTAGAGCGAAAACAATGGCGGATTACAAACGTTTTAGAAACAAAAACTAACCTCATTGGACATTGTTTATCTGGTGAGATAGGACGACCTTCGTTTCGAATTCGCAGTTGAATAAAATGTTTTGAAACAATTTCCCGGTCAAAAATATCACACATGATTCATCCGGTGCGGTACGTAATCAATGCTAATAAGGCCAAAACAAAATATGTGGGTTTCCGGTTTCTTCTTATAAAAACTTAGGTAGGGTAGGTCGGTTTTAACTTTTTTTTTAAATTTTCCGAACAAAAGCGGACGCCATTTTGTTTAGTCAGTGCTTTCACATCCAAAGATAAATTTCCCTAATATTGCCTCAAATTTCAATTTTTGACAAACTTTTTCCTCTAAGTGGAAACACTTACAAGCATGATCCAAAAAAAAGTTTAGGGTCGGGATTTCGACGTCCAAAAGCTAGGTAGGGTCGGGAAACCGGAAACACACATATTTTTTTTTGGCCTAAGTACTATATGCATTTTCAATTCTTAGAGCGGACATTTCACAGGCTACTGATGACTGGCCTCACACTCTATTGAAAATATCACGCACCCAATGAGTCAAAGCTGTTATACCGTGGCTGTTTGGCATCATTTCAAAACAGAAACTTTTGCATAAAATTAAGCAAATTTTTCATAAAATTCAGCAAAATACAATCGCAAAAAAATAGCGTTAAATCGGTATTTTTTCCGTTATCCGTTTTCGTTTTTTTTTCAAATACCGCAACAGCCTACTCTACATTTGATTTAATGAGAAATAATATTTATTAGTCAACTTTCTCAGATCTTAATAAAGTATCTGATTGGGTTTTGACTGTCCAATCCAGACTGACACACACATTTCAGCCTACTCACATAAACATATTTCCAATGCCAAATTTATATTTATTTGTTTGTAAGTTGCAGTTTGAGTTGCCCCATGCATAGCTATTGTTTTTTTATAAAGTTAAAATTCTGTGCAAGAAATATATACCTGATTCCATGGTTAAATTGTTACCGATAATTTGATAGTTGAGCCTCAGTTCCTCACCAGTATTTTTCAATCACTGCAATTTGCTTGTTTTCCAGGCACATCATTCACATGTCTGACAAGATCTGCAGAAGCTGTTTCATCAAAACTATATTAAATACAGTACAAAAAGATCTCACCTAGCATTGTTTCCATGGGTGTTTTGGCTGACGATAAGGTTTTAAGGTACTATACGCATATGATCAAAATTACATTTTGTTTCCGAGGGAATATTTGTGTCTGCCAGTCGCATCTCACAAAATTTTCTTTCTGTAGAAAATTGGCCTTAAGAAGTCATAATAATGTTAGAAATGCTTTAAGCTAAATCTATGTAAAATGCTAAACAAAACAATCTGGTAAATTAAGCACTGCCTTGGAACATTTTTCGTAGTTTATCTCAAAGCTATGGAACATTTTTACAGTTTTGAAAAGATTTAGAGGGTCCATGAACTCTTTATAGAGTAATGTTGATCTTATTTGGTGTTACTGTAAGTTCCAAGCTTATTGACTCCTTTAACAGTCTACAATTACATTTAAGTCTACTCTACATTTGATTTAATGAGAAATAATATTTATGAGTCAACTTACTCAGATCTTAATAAAGTATCTGATTGGGTTTTGACTGTCCAATCCAGACTGACACACACATTTCAGCCTACTCACATAAATATATTTCCAATGCAAAATTTATATTTAGCTGTAGTTGGTTGTTTGTTAGTTGCAGTTTGAGTTGCCCCATGCATAGCCATTGTTTTTTTATAAAGTTAAAATTCTGTGCAACAAATATATACCCAATTCCTGAAACCATGGTTAAATTATTACTGATAATTTGATAGTTGAGCCTCAGTTCTTCACCAGCATTTTTCAATCACTGCAATTTGCTTGTTTTCCAGGCGCATAATTCTCATGTCTACCAAGATCTGCAGAAGCTGTTTCATCAAAACTATATTATATAGTACCAAAAGATCTCACATTGCATGAAACCTATTTCTAGGGTTGGGCGATATTAAAAAATCAACTCACGATTATTGTCCAGGAAATTATCACGATATTCGATAATATTGCAATAAAAACAATAACCACATTTTTCAATTTTAATTAATATCAAAGCATAGTAAGCTTATATATAATCTTATTAAAAACAAGTAAAACAACAAATTAAAGTAACATGAAATCTTTTCTAGTCTAATATTCACTGTTCTAAAAATTGAACTGTTTATGCAGTGTCTACAATGTCTCCGCAAACACTGTAAGTTCAGCAGCTTACTAACTTACCAAGACTTACTAACTTAGCAAGGCTTACTAAATTACCAAGGCTTACTAACTTACCAATGATTACTACTAGATTACTAAGTATTACTAGATTACCAAGGATTACTAGTTTACCAAGGATTTCTAGATTACCAGTGATAAGTAGGGATTATTAGGATGTATAAAAGTTAGAATGGTATATTAGTGACCGTAACACCAGGAATTAACCAATATATCGTATTAAATTTGTATTTGATTCAAAAAATAGTTTTAATTCTTTTAAAAACCACATTTTCTAGAAATTGAAGGAATTTTTTTTAGGATTTTTATATAAGCTATATAGCCTACACATGCGAAGCAATATCACGATAGTCCACGACCATGACGATAATTTCGATGTATCGTCGCTCAAGTTTCTACCTTCGATACGATAATCGTGATTGAAAATATCGCGATACATCGAAAGATCGCTCAACCCTACCTATTTCCTGCTCTAGCTGTGGCTGAAGCCCTGTTTTTGTAGAGTTTTGGCTCCAGTCAGAACTGATCAATAATATAAAGCATAAACAAGAAATCTGCTTGAATAAATCTCTAGGAACAACTTTATTTAGGTAGTTGGATGGGTTACATGTGACAACACTGATTGAACAAATGTGTCTGTGGTGTAACATTTTCTATCACTTGCCATCCAAAACTAATAGAACATAAAATTGTTGTTTGGAAGAAAATTGACTTGCCACCTGATTAAATTAGTTTTTCCCCCAAATTCAGTATTAATAAATTTGAATGAGCAGTGAGCACCACTGCTCTCCTCTTGACAAGTAAAATAAAAGCTGCCTATGTATATAACTGAAACTTTCGCTGGTGGAACCAAAAGTCGGATGTGAGGTTTGATGTCTGAAAGTATACCTTTACATCATTTATTTTACATTGGAGTTTAAAATATGCAAACATGGGCGATTATACAAAAATGCTGTTTCACTCTCTCAGAGGGTATGAGAAATTTGAAATGAGTAATATATGCTATCGCTTGGTGGCAACAGGTATTTTCCATGTCGTAATTGTTGTTTATAATTTCTGAAATTGCTCAGAACTTCAGGGCTAAATTTGGCAAATGTCCGAACAAAAGTAATTTTGATCGGACATTGATCTGAACACAAAAAATTGTCACATTATATATTTTTTTACTGTGACAAAATCCGATTGCAAATTCACTCAATTTGCATTTTGCAATAAAATTTACGAGGCATTCTAGCATTTTACCGCCGGAATGGCTATACATACTTGTCTCGTGACTTATATATATCTTGTGACATATATATGTCAGACCAAATTTAGTGATGTAGGTTTTTGTCCAACTAAATTCAAGTTATGTCCGACCAAAATTAAAAGTGATCGGACAAATGTTCTGCCAAGTCAAATATTTATTTGCAGCCCTGGAACTTCAACTTAACACTACTTCTCATAAATGTGTATGGTTTTGGTGGTTTAATAATATTAATTAAGGCTGGGGTGATTTTAGTTCGATTAACAGTGGCGTAGCCAGACCTTCATTTTTGGGGGGGCGAAGCGAACGCCGAAGGCGCGAGACAGGGCCGTCTGAAAAAATTTTTCCCGGAACAATTTATTTTTCGCGACCGCCCCCCCCCCCGTCGCCAAAAATATTTCGGTCAGTGTACCATTTTAGGGGTCCAAAATTTTTTCCGGACATGCCAATGTCATTGTGATCAGAAATATCGCATTTAAATCATTCTAGATTCTATGAGACAGCATTTCTGCATTCTCAAAATTGCGTTGCTTTTTCATACGATACAGAATAAGTCTGACAAGAATATTCATGCGATGATAATGCATACACGTAATTCTAAACTAAATCTTGTCTTCTTGGAACCATATCTAAAACTGCTTTAATTAACGAGATTTTACAATTCAAGTTCCTCCAGTATATCCTCGTTTTCCTC